TGTCTACTAGAAGATCTATATAAATTTGCCATTACAATATAAAGGCTAATTGGGACTTTAAAATACCTAAGCTCCACTTTGCTCCTCTTAAATCCTATAGCATCTGTTGTTAGCCTTTTTTACACCTCCTTTGTATGGATGCCTTTACTAAATGAAAATATTGCATTTTTCTAACATATATTTTTAACTTTCCTCTCATGTTTATACATTTATTTGTTCTCTGACATTTCTTTTTATATGTGCCTTTCATCTGATGTAATTATTTTTACTTTGCTCCAAGGCTCAGCTGAGAATAACGTATTGCATTCTTTTTTTAAACTGTTATTGTAGTCTCCTTTGTCCTTCCAAATTTAGGGAGCTATATTGGCAATAAAAATTGTATACATTCAAGATCCATACTGTTGAGTTTTTATCTGTGTCTATGTTGAATGTAATTAGTATAATCAAATTAACTAAAACATCACTTCCTACTACAATTTTTTAAAATACGAAAACACTTAAGATCTACTCTGTTAGGAAATTTCAAGTATATAATATAGTATATAAACTGGGCTCATTATGCCATACTTTAGTTTCCCAGAGCTTATTCATTTTATAATTGAAACTCTGTACTGTTTGACAAAATCTCCTTGTCAACCTCACCCCATGTCCCATGGCAACTACCATGCTACTCTATGTGTCTATGTTTTAACTCATTCAGATTCCACAAGGACATTTCAGAATTTATCTTTCCATCCTTATTTATTTAGGGTAATGTTCTCCATCCATGCTGTCACAATTGCAGTATTTCCTTTTATGAAAGTGCTGAATAGCATTGATAGATACAGATACAGATATAGATGTAGACGTAGATATAGATGACATAGATATGGGTGTATGGGTGAATGTATAGATATCCACCCACCAGCAGACACAGGCTGTTTCCATATATTAAGGATTGTGTGTAACACTACAATAAACAGTTGATGAAGGTATCCCTTCGGGACACTGACTCTATTTCTTTTGGAATGTACTCAGAAATGGGATTGCTGAATCATATAGAATACCATTTTTAAACTTTTGAGAAACCATCATCTAGTTTTTCAGTAGTAACTGTATCAATTCACATTTCCACTGCAGTATAGAAGGTGTCAATTTCCTGCACATCTTTGACAGCACTTGCTACCTACTGTTGTTTTGCTAAGTGACCTTTGTCTTAGTCACTTTCTCACTGCTGAGACAAAATGCCCAAACTCACAACTTGAGGTGAAAAAGATTTACTTGGCTCATAGTCTTCGGAGATTTCAGCGCATAGTTGGTGGCTCCAAGGCAGAAACAGCATGGCGGAAAGACCTGAACAGAGGACAGCTGCTCACCTCATGGCAGCTAGGAAGCGGAGAGTTCAGGAGGACCCAGGAAGGAAAACATGTACTTCCAGGTCATGCTCAGTGACCCCATCTCTGTGACCAGAGTGCACCTCCTGACAGCAAGGCACCTATAATGCCTTGTTATCCAGTCATCTTCCAAATGCATGAGGCTTTGGGCCATTTTTGCTACAAACTGTAACACACATTAAAGTTAAATTTAACCCTGAATCAACAAGGATAGCAGGTGAATGACAGCAAAAAGAACATAGTAAAGAGGATGGAAGACAAATGTGAGGATCTCCTCAGTTTTATTCTTCCAACAGTACTGATTAGTGATGCTCTGTTTCACACGTCAAGTGAATTCTGTTCCAGGTTGTGTAACTGAAAGACAGAAATGTCTCACAAAATTTACCTGAAGGTTAAAGAAGGATGTAGAGATATCTCTGGAAATTAGTTTATAGAGTGAAGAATGCTAAAGCTACACAGTCACTCATTCACATACTTCATTGATCAGATATTATCTATATTCAGAAATTCTGAGGTTAGGATTAATATTGGCTAAGATTTTGAGTTTTAAAGTCATAGGAAAATTTTTGAAAGACTCAGAAAAACTAGAAGTGCAGGGCAAGGGTCTATTTACTTCTTTGGTTTTCTTGAGTGTATTCTTTTCCAAAGTCCCAGAAGGGCTTTATTAACAGAAAACTTTGGTCCAATCCCAGATAAGCATAGTCAGGCAGGGCTGAGGTCACCGTTCCACCTTTCTGTGCACACTTAATCTGTCCACACCCCATGAGCCCGCCTGGGCAGGGTCAGCAGGGCCATCTAGCAGTGTGCTCAGCAGACAGGCGGAGAGTGCTTCAGGAGCAAAGAATCGCTACTGTTCTTGACTACTGATCTGCTTCCAACACTGTCTATTAGTTCTCAACATTTCCTTCCTTTCCTCTAGCATCTACTTTTCTGGAGAAAAGAAAATGTGCTTCCTTCCCAAAGCTTCAGGTAGCATTAATGTACTGTAATGTATAAAGAACTGTGATTTTTATTTCCAATATGTATAGACCCAAGAGTATATTCCTCCTTTATTTTTACAAGGATGCATTTGCTTTCCTGAGACTGAAATGTTGCAGAGAGAGTGGTCTGTTTTATTCACTTGGGGTAGCTTCTGAGGGTGACCATGAAACTAGCAACAATGTCTCCATCGCATTTATATTTCCTGGTTGAGTGGAGCCTTAAATCCAACTTGTACACTACAGAGAGAGGATGGCGTTTCCAAGAGAACTTGGGGACATAAAAGTCCTCTCTCAGGTTAGTGGAATGGTGGTAGGCAGATACTCTGATAATCTAAATTTTTAATCTACACAAGGAGAAAATAAGATGAGTAAATACCTGATAGGCCCAGGGGAGGGGTTAGGTGGCAAAGCATCAGAACACTTCTGGGATGGTGTCAGCTTCAGATAATGCCGGTGTTACTGTACCAGTGCCATTAAAAATCCCCAAGTTAAACACATGCTGAGCTGTTTACTGGAGACTTGAGCAATGGAACAGTGGAGTCAAGAGAGGGCGGAAAGGCCGGTCCCCTAGCCCAGTCACACACAGGGCTTCCTCGTCCATGCAGTGTGTGGGGTGGTTGTTGTGTATGGCTGATGACAGTGACCTCCACTGAACAAGGAGCAGCAGAGATGCTCCCAACACCCCTCCTGCCCTCGCCTGCCTCCTGCTCCTCCTCCGTTCACTCAGCCACCAACATATGGGCACTCACATGTGCTGCTCCTATGCTGGTCCTGGCCCCACTTTGTGCAGAAACATACATTAGGTGAGCAGGTGTGCTTTTGCAGCTCGCTGGGAGGTTAAAACTGTGCACAAGGCTCACTGTCCCATGCAGACAAGATTAATAGAAAGGAGTACCTGCGATTGCCTCAGGCTTGTCTGACACTGATGCTGGGGCATCGAACACACTCATAGGATTGCCTACTGCACCAGCTTCTCAGGACTTGAGACCAGGAATGAGTTGGAGGTTAGAAACAATTTTTGTATTATTACAGGACTGTAAAATGTCTTTGAATCTTGTAATTTTTGTCTTAAATATCCCTGCATCATAACCACTTCTGGTGTCTTCCCAGAAGGAAGAGATATTAGTTTCTTCCTCTCAGTAAGGGCTATGGAAATTTAAATTCACAATGCAGAAGAGGAAAAGTTGAGAATCTTAAATCTCTTTAAGAGAAAATGTGGGAGGCATCAGAAAGAGCATGTATATTTTCTGTCTGCTGCATTTTATTAATTATTCAATAACTATTTAAAATTCCACCTTGAATCACTTACATTCTATATAAATAATATCTTGCATGCATAAACTGACAGTGACCTCATTACAAGCAACCATGTTTTGTATGATCTGGATTTGTTTTCTGCATCCAAAGCAGTGGTGCTCTGTGAGCAGCAGGCCAGAGCAGACGGGAACCGGGCTCGGAGACTCTCAGTGGTGTGCAATTTTTCTTCCCACATCTCAGTTTCTCATGAAAAATCAGTTGTGGTGCTCATTATGTTTGCAAAAACATCCAAATTGTTGTCTGAAAAAGTGACCTTCCAAATCCCAGTTACTTCTCTGAGATTTAATGCAAATAGTAGGAGTTTTAAGGACCTGACCTTGGAGGAATGTACAGTGGAAAACAAAGAGACAAGATTTTCCATAAAGCTATGGTTAACTGGGGTTAAACTAATAAATATATTACACATGTTTCTACTTATATGTGTATATGTTTATATCAATCACTATTTAAAGTTATACATATTTATATGCAACAAACATGTACAAACACATATTTTCAAATATAAATTGTTTTCTTAAATTGTGTTTACACTTTATTTATTTGCAGGTCTTTTCCCACCTTATTATGAAAACCAAATCATTAAATGTATAATGTATACTAAAAGTGGAGATCTGACGCTGTGTCATTTTAGCAGCCAACTGCAAGATAGGGTATTCATGATTCGTGTAAATATTGAATCCTTCACACCGTATCTGTTTACTCGTTTGAATCTAGCACTGTTCTAGGAACTTGCTTGACCTCACTTCATTAAATCTTCACAAGCCTGAAACCCAGTAGTATTCTAATCTTTCTTTTAGGTACAGCAGACAGAGGATCACAGGGTAGAAAGGTAGCAGGATGACCACTGGCTCTGGCCACAGTCAGGGCTTCTGTCCACAAGCCCTTTGGTCTGTAAGGCTTGGTCCTCTGGTGAGAATGTGAGGCTCACTTCACACTCATAGATGGCAAGAGTTTCAGTGTTTGAATTGATTTTCCCAAAGTATATTTCAGTTACCTTCTAAATACTTCCTATGTGGCAGCACATGCTTGTAACTCCAGTCTGTAATCTAGAAGACTGACGCAGGCAGATTGCAAGCTCCAGCCTGCCCTGGGCAAGTTAATGACTGGTGAAATCTTGTGTCACAATAAAAAAAAAGAAAGGCTATGGATGTAATTCAGTGTGGTGTGAAAGACCTGGGTTCAATCCCTTGTACAGGAAAACAAACCAGTGGAGTTGACCCTTATACCAGAGAAGTTAGGACTTACTCCATCAGTAACGACATTTTGAAAATAATAAATTTCATTTTCTTTTTTTTTCCCCTTTTTTCTCTCTGTCACCGTGTTGCCAAAGGGCAGTGATTCTGCAAATCTTTAGCACTTGTTCAAAGAGGACGCTGACCAAGAAAGTTCGTGGGTGTGAACTGTGAGGACATCACTGTGAGTCACAAATCTTTTCTGGCCATAATTGTGAATTAGTTTCTTTTAATTTGATGAATTACAGGCAACTTTAAATCATCAGGTGCACGGGTCTGTGGGACATCTCAAGTTGGTCCAGTCAGGGGCCTGCATGCACGTGTGGGGTACTCCCTGAACAGTCTTTTGAGAAGGTCACATTATGTTAACCCCAAAGCTTTCTCGGTGTTCTAGGTGAGACCTCATGGACATTACCACCTGGACCTCCAACTTCACAGAGCAGACAGATTTCATCCTGGTGGGACTCTTCCGTCAATCCAAACACCCTGCTCTGCTTTGCCTGCTCATCCTTGTGATTTTCCTGATGGCCTTGTCCGGAAATGCACTCCTGATCCTTCTTATTTGCTCTGACTCCCGCCTCCACACCCCCATGTACTTTTTCATCAGCCAGTTGTCCCTCATGGACATGATGTACATTTCCACCACGGTGCCCAAGATGCTCATGGACCAGGTCCTGGGTGAGAACAAGATCTCAGCCCCTGAGTGTGGGCTGCAGATGTTCCTCTACTTGACACTGGTTGGTTCAGAGTTTTTTCTTCTGGCATCCATGGCCTACGACCGCTACATGGCCATCTGCCATCCCCTGCACTACCCCATCCTGATGAACCACAGAGCATGTCTCCTCCTGGCATCTGGCTGCTGGTTCCTGGGGTCGGTGGATGGCTTCATGCTGACTCCTGTGACCATGACCTTCCCCTTCTGTGGATCCCGGGAGATCCATCACTTCTTCTGTGAAGTCCCTGCTGTGACAAAGCTGTCCTGCTCAGATACCTTGCTCTATGAGACACTCATGTACCTGTGCTGTGTCCTCATGATCCTCATCACTGTAACAGTCATCTCAAGCTCCTACACCTTCATCCTCCTCACTGTTCTCAGGATGAACTCAGCAGAGGGCCGGAAGAAGGCGCTGGCCACCTGCTCCTCCCACATGACTGTGGTCCTTCTCTTCTACGGTGCTGCTGTCTACACCTACATGCTCCCCAGCTCCTACCACACCCCTGAGAAGGACATGGTGGTGTCTGTGTTTTACACAATACTCACCCCTGTGTTAAACCCCTTAATCTATAGTCTCAGGAACAGGGATGTCACAGAAGCTCTAAAGAAAATGTATAGTGTGAGACCTGCCTTTCAAGACTTGGTAAAATAGGCACCGTGAGTAATCATGGGTTCTTTTCTTTCTCTCTGCATATCAGACATTCAGAGTCTTATATGAATTGTGTTTCTCAGACTCACATGAGGGCTTATCCTCCACTCACCCCTTTTTTGGGAATTCTTTTCTATACTGGAAAAATCTCCATCTGTGCCCTGTTTTTCCATTCAAATACTTATACGACAGGATTGTTTTGATGTTTTATTTTCTGTAGCTGATGATTGGTCCTTAATTATGTAGAATATTCATAGTTAGGAATGGTCATAAGGTTTTCAACAGATAAGGGACAGAAAGAAGTAATAAAGTGAAAAGATTTCCATGGGATCCAGGCCCTCAGCTGGATTCCTTGGTCTAAGTGTGTGAACAGATTTCCTGCACTTTCTTGTATAGCATTCTTTGGGTGACTATTATAAATAATCTTATAAAATATGTGTCCTGTATTATATTGTTCCCCTTGCAAAATATTCCCCAAACCATAACAGGTAAGGATCACTTGGAGTGAAGTACTCCAAGCCCTAAAAGAGGACAATTGTTTTTTGAGACAGTGTCTTGCTATGCAGTTCAGGCTGGCCTTGTGCTCACTTTGTAGCTCAGGCTGGCCCCAAACTCACAATGATCCTCCTGCCTCAGCCTCCTGAATGCTGGGATTACAGGCATGTGCCACCACACCTCGCTAAGAAAATAAGTTGTAACCCAGATTCATATATCCTGCAAAATTATCTTTCAAGATATTTACTTGATAAAGAAAAACTAAAGAAATTCACAACCACCAAACCACCACTACTCTCACAGATATCTTAGAAAGAGACAATGAAAACTAACCATGCCAAAAGTGCAGTAGAAAAAATAGACCAGATAGGATAAGCAATTAAGTTAGAAGGGAAAGAAAGGAACCAGCAAGAGGAAAATAATACAATGACAGGATTAAGTCAACACCTATCAGTTATAACTATTAGTGTGAATGGTCTCAACCCACCAATCAAAAGACACACCTTGGGAGACTCAAACGAGAATCAAAATCCAACAGTATGCTGAACACAAGAAACACATTTACCCCAAACAGAAGTTTGTAGACTAAAAATCAAAGGTTGGAAAAAATATTTCATGCAGTTGGAGACTGAAAGCAGCAAGGTTACTGATCCTATTTTTAGGCAAAGTGGATTTTAAGTCAAAGCTGATCAAAAGAGGCAAACAGTCATGCTACATATGGGTTAACAGAACTATTCAAAGTAAGGCATACTACAGTGCACCTTACTTCACAAAACAAACTCCAGTGGACATAAAAGATCAGATAAAGAGCATTATGAGTATAGTGTGGACCTCAGTGCTCTACTGTCACAAATAAACAGTTCAAGTAAACAAAAATTAGAGTTGAATCAAACCTTTGAACAAATGAACTTAATAGGTGTATACAGTGTTTCACCCAAAGACCATAGAATATACTTCTTTTTGACAACAAAGAAATTTTCTTGGAAATAAAAAAAGAAAATATAATGCATCCTAGTTAATGAAGCATGATTAAGTAAACACAAAAGAATCAAAATTTTATAAAGGACATTATCAATTGTCAGTGCAATGAAACTGGAAATCAATGGCAAAAAAAGCACAGAAATCATATAAGCATATGAAACCTAAACAACACACTCTTGAATAATCAATGGGTCACACAAGAAATTAAAGAGGAAATAAGACAGTTCCTAGAGTTAAATGGTCATGCCAATAGAACATACAAAAATCCATGGCACATATTGAAAGCAGGCCTAAGAGGGAAGATTTAGCTGTGAATGCCCACATCAGAAAAACAGAACAAGTCCAAATAAATAACTATTCTGCACTTTAAGGTCCTAGGAAAAGAAGAACACTAAAAATCCAGATCTTATACTAAGAAGGAAACTACAAGGATCAAAGCAGAAATCAGTGCAAGATGAAAAGGGCAATACAAATAATAAATGAATTGAAGAGCTGGTTCTTTGAAAGACTAGACAAAATAGGCAAACCCTTAGAAATTCTTACAAAAAAAAATTAGACACAAATAAGTTGTTAGAAATGAAAATCGTGTGGCTCAGTTGTGATGTGGGTCCTGCTTTCATCACAGTAAATTTACTACAATGAGAACAATGAGACTTGCAACACTTTGCTCAAGAGTAACAAAAAATGTTGTCTTTCTATAGTAGAAATGAATGATTAAGGAATAATATAGAATCTAGACCATGTGGCAAAATACCAATACTTTGTACAATTCAGCTTCTAAATTCCTAAAGGAAATTGCTGGAAGAAATTTAGATCTGAGATCCTAGGAGTTTTGAAGCTGTCATTGTCCACAATTCAAGTGAAGACAGAAGAATTGTGGCAAGGCGGATGGGATGGCCAGGTAAAGCATCAGTTCTCTTTAAAAGGACTATCTTGAAGTCCAAGAACCCGATTAAGGTGACCTTGATGACTATTGAAGGAATTACATGTGAAATTCCTTACATAAATATTTATTTAATAAAAAAAGAAATGAAAGGGGTGATATCACAATGGACACCTCTGAAATCCACATTATTACCAACTACCTCACAAAGCTGTACAACACCAAAAAATGAGAACTCAGAAGAAAAGGAGAAATTCCTAGATACATAGGAATTACCAAAACTGAACCAAGAAGACTTAAAACTCCTGAATAATCCAACAACAGGCAATGAAATTAAAGCACCAATAAAAAAATCTACCAACCAAGAAAAGCCTAGGAGCTTATGTGTTCTCTGCTGAATTCTACAAGGACTTCAGGGAAGATCTAATAGCAATATTTCTCAAACTCTTTAATGAAATCAAAAGAGGAGGCATGCTTCCAAAGTCATTCCTGAAAGCTAGCATTTCCCTGATTTCAAAACCAGACAAGGACCTAAAAGCAAAACAGAACTACAGGCCAGTTTCTTAAATGAACATAGATGATAAATCCTTAACAAGATACTGGCAAACAGAACGTAACAAATCATCAAATAGATTATACAACATGGCCAACTAGGCTTCAACCCAGACATGTAAGGATGGTTCAGTGTATCCAAATCAATAAGAGTGATTCATCAGATAAAGAGAAGCAAGGACAAAAATAATGTGATCATCTCAACAGATGCAGAAAATGCCTTTGACAAAACCAAACATCCCTTCACAATAAAAAACCTTAAGGAAAATAAGTATAGAAGGACCTTCTCTCAATCTGACAAATCCATTTGTGACCAGCCTGCTGCCATATTGAATGGACAAAAACTGAAAGCTTTTTGTCTAAAATCAGGAACAAGGAGCCAGGGATATAGCTCAGTTGTGCAGTGCCTACCTGGCAAGTGCAAGGTCCTGAGTTCGATTCCCAGCACCAAAAAATAAAATAAAGTCTACTATCACCATTCCTGTTCAACATAGTACTTAAAACACTAGCCAGAGTAATCAGGCAAGAGAAAGAAATCAAAGGGATAAGTACGGGAAAGGGGAAGGTGAAAGTATCCTTATTTGGAATTGGATTATGCACACACAGCATAATCAACCAGTGCAAAGACACAATATCAGATTTAGAAGAAAGGGCTGTGTTTGGTGATCACCAAATGAAAGCCCCTCAAAAATAATAAGGAACCATGAAAAAGCAAACCAACAGCTTCTAGATAATGCAAAGAAGAATAATACAAGATTAATTGGAATATGAAAAATCAGAAGAAAACACAAAGAACATTTAAAAAAACTTGTTTACAGAAGTAATAGCAGAAAACTTTCAACCATGTGAAAAGATTTGGACATATAGTGAGTGACACCTTAGAACACCAATTAGCCATGATCAGAAAAATACCACAGCAAGGACAAAATAGTCAAGAATCCAGAAGTTTGACACAAGCTCAGAACATTAAGAGCTGCTAGAAAACAGAAATGACCTATAAAGGAAAGCCCATCAAATAGCAACAGACTTCTCATCAGAAACCATTAAGACAAGGAGAGTTTGGAGTGAAGTATTTCAAGCCCTAAAAGAAAACAACTTCCCATCCAAATTGATGTACCCTGCAAAATTATCTTTCAAAATTGATGCAAAAATATTTCCATGATAAATAACACCTGAAGAAATGCATGACCACCAAGCCAGCACAAAAAGTTCTAAAGGACATTCTAGACAGAGACAATAAAGACACCAGTTCCAAAAATTCCAATAGAATGAGCCCAGCAGGCAAGATAAGCAGTTAAAACATAAGGGAAACAAAAATGACAGGAAAATAATATGGCAAGGATAAGTCAATACATATCAGTTATAATCATCAATGTAAATGGTCTCAACTCTCCAATCAAAAGATACAGACTGGCAGAATGGATCAAGAAATGAGATCCAACAAAATGCTGCATAGAAGAAACACATTTATCTCAAAATGAAGTTCATAGATTGAAAAATCAAAGAACAGAAAACAACACTCCATGCAACAGAAACCCATACAATAAAAGTGGAGGTAGCTATTGTATTTGCAGACAAAGTATATTTCAAGGCAAGACTAATCAGAAGAGACATAAAGGTCCACTACATACTTGCTAAGGGAACAATCTAAGAGAAAGAGAGATAACAACCATAAATGTATATGCACCAAATACCAGTATACCCAACTATATAAAACACTAATGCAGTTATCGTGACTGACTTCAATATGCCACTGTCACAAATAGACAAAAAATCAGCAAAGAAATATTAGAGCTGAACCAAACCTCTGATTGAATGGACTTAGTATATATCTACAGAGTGTTCCACCCAATGACAGTAGGATACACATTTTTCTCAGCAGCACATGGAACTTTCTCCCAAATAGATCATCTACTAGCTCATAGCACATGCTGAAGTAAATGTAAAGTAACTGAAATTATCCCATGCATATTATCAGATCATAGTAAAATGTAATTGGAAATTAATAGGGAAAGAACCACTAAAACTATATTAACACATGGAAATTAAGTCATATGCTACTGAACAACCAATAAATCACAGGTGAAATTAAAGAAGAAAGACACTTTCTACAATTGAATGACAATGCAAATACAACATATCAGAACTTATGAGACACAATGAAAGCAGTCCTATCAGGGAAATTTATAGGGGTGAATTCCCACATCAGGAAAACAGAGCAAGCTCAAATAAACATCCAGTGTTGAACTTCAAGCTTCTAGAAAGAGAAGAGCAAGTTAAACCCAAAGCATGTACAAGGAAGAAAATTATAAAGATCAAAGCAGAAATTAATGCAATTGAGACTAAGAAAACAACACAAAGAATCAATGCATCAAAGAGTTGGTTCTTTGAAAGATCA